TGGGTGCCACGGCCCCGCGCTCGCCCCACTTCCCACCCCAGACTCAGCCGCATCTCGGCTCTGGGCAGGGGCAGGTCCCCGCATGAACAACCTCCACAACCCACCCCAGACTCAGCCGCATCTCGGCTCCGAGGGGGCAGAGCCCCGTGTGAACAAACTCCACATCCCACCCCAGACTCAGCCGCCTCTCGGCTCCGAGGGGGCAGATCCCTGTGTGAACAACCTCCACAACCCACCCCAGACTCAGCCGCATCTCGGCTCCGAGGGGGCAGAGCCCCGTGTGAACAAACTCCACATCCCACCCCAGACTCAGCCGCCTCTCGGCTCCGAGGGGGCAGATCCCCGTGTGAACAACCTTCACATCCCACCCCAGACTCAGCTGCATCTTGGCACCAAGCGAGGGCCCCGGGACACTCTCTCAGTGCCCCTCCCATCCTGAACTACACCCGCCCCCTCCACGCCAGCCTGGGAAAGGGGCACCTGCGCCCCCTGGTGGCACGGATGGGGTTTGTCCCTGTTACTGTGGGCTTGGCAGGCCCTAACGCGCCCCGCCCCAGAGCCAGCTGCATCTCACTACTGTGTGAATGGGTCTGTATGTAAACCCCACCCCCACAGTGTGTCCCACCCTAGAGGTGGCTGCATCTCAGTGCAGAGCAATGGGTTCCCTGATGTTCCACCCCAGAAGCAGCCGCCGCAGCCCTGGGGTCCACCAGTGCCCCACACCCAGAGGCAGCCGCATCTCACTGTCACGTGAAACCGTCGCTATAGAAACACCCCCAACATGCCCTACCCCAGAAGCAGTGTCATCTGAGCCCTGGGGTCCACCAGTGCCCCACCCCAGAGGCAGCTGCATCTCATAGCTGGGCAATGGGTCCCCTGATGCTGCACCCCAGAAGCAGCTGCTTCTCAGCCCTGGGCGAGGGGTCCCCGAACCCCGCACCCTGGAGCCCCTGGGTCAACGTTACCCCCCCCGGTGCCAGGTGACGAGGAGGAGGAGGAGGACGGACGGGAGGAGCGGCTGCCGTCGTGTTTCGACTACGTGATGCACTTCCTGACGGTGTTCTGGAAGGTTCTGTTCGCCTGCGTGCCCCCCACCGAGTACTGCAACGGCTGGGCCTGCTTCAGCGTCTCCATCCTGGTCATCGGCCTCCTCACCGCCCTCATCGGCGACCTGGCCTCGCACTTCGGCTGCACCGTGGGCCTCAAGGACTCCGTCAACGCCGTCGTCTTCGTGGCCCTCGGCACCTCCATCCCCGGTGCGGGGGGTGTCGGGCTGGGGGGGTCCAGCAGGG